TCCGCACGGTGAACCGTGTCACCGACAAGTGGGTCCCACCCGGGACCACGCGTGGTGAGCCCGGTCCACCGGCTCTCTCTCTCCTTCCCTCCCGCGCGCGCGTGCCTTGGGCCGCTCTGGGCCGCCTTCTTGGTCCGGCCGGCCCATTAAGCTCGGCCGAGCTGCCCTTTCTCTCGGGCCGCGCCCTAGCCGCCCGAGGGAAGTCTATTTTCCCTCCCTCTTTCCTTTTCTTTTCTTTTCTTTTTCAAAAAGGATTTAATTAAATCCTTTTTCCTTTAGACCAAAAATCCAATAATCTTAGAAATTCAATATCTTCCCAACCGTAAATCCATTTGACTCCGTTCAACTTCCAAAATTCCCCAAATCTCGAGATCTATCTAATGGCACGCTTAGAGGTCATTAATAGGGCTTTATTTTTTGCCGTTTGTTGAGTTGTCCCGTTTCGCGTGTAGTTTCGGAGCCCAAAGACCCGCAGTGCGTGGATTTCGAGGATCAAGCTCCAGATCTCGAGCAAGGCAAGCCACCTTTGAACATCTTGAGCCTATATTTGAACTTAATTATATTGCTTGCAAAATATTATGCATTGATAGGATCGCACTTAATCTGTTGTCCCGTCTGCAAGGCAGATTGGCGGACCTACCTAAATTGTTGCATTTGATCCTTCATTTGATAATTGTTATATCGTGTCCCCTTGTAACCATCTAGTTGCGTCTCGATATTCATGCACCCTGTGCGAGTATCGACGGACGCCTTCAAACTTAAAATCTGAAAAACTTCTTGGGTAAAACTTGGGTTTTATAAAAGACTTGGAAAACCCGACACCTGGGTCGGTGCTTGCGAACTAAATGAATTTCCAAAACCGCGGACCGGGGAACGTACCGGGTGTACGGTTTCCCGCTCTCGCACTTAAGGACCGTTTCCTTGGAATTTCATCCAAACATAAGACAAGTACGACCACATGGGTGGAATGGGACACCCCTGGCTGAGTAACTAGCTTATCAAGGGAGCCTTGATGCCGAGAGACATGTGGATTCGCCGGGGTGGTGTCGGGGAGGACCCCTGGGCTTCCTGGCGCAGTATGGTCTGGGACCTAACCTGTTGTTGGTCTGTGACCCCTCTCGTCGGCATATGGTAAACCTGTGTCGGCTTTGGAAATGCCTTGTCATGAAAGCTTGGAGGTCTCCCGACGTGGCTGATTCCCACAGGCTGGGTGATCCGGGTTAGTAATGTCGTGTGGGTAAAGTGTACCCCCTCTGCAGAGGTTAACAAACTGTTCGAACAGCCGTGCCCACGGTCATGGGCGGATGTGAGGTGATTCCTAGCGTAGTTTTGTTTGACTACTGCTTGTGAAATTGCTGTTGTGGAAGGGGTTCGATGTTTGAAAAATCTGTAGCTGACGGGATCAGCTAGGCCCGGGTGGCCGTTTGAAAAGCTATTGGCTGGGTGCCAACCTTGAATCATTTCTAAAGACTGATACATTGCACATACTCCGACCGGACGAGACGCACTGTCTCATCCGTGTCGTTTGAGAAGCACTCACTTAGTCGTTTTTAGAAAAGAGTTCAAATAAAATCAACTGCAAAAGCAATAGTCTTTCCTTGAAGCCTGCATTAAACACTTATTTCCCCAGCTGCTGAAGAAGATGAAGCGGATCCTGCTGATGAGGAGTTCTTCCAGGAGCAAGCCGGTTACGATGAGTTTTAGGGTTTCGGCCTAGTTCCCAAGTCGCGCCTGTGATGTTTGGTCCAAGTCTTGGCTTCCGCTTTCCTTTTGTAATGCAGTTGTGAGCTCGGGGTCTGTCCGCAGCCCAACAAGACTGTACTCCTACTCTATAATAAAGAGACCTCTGTTGCTGTGATATTCTGTCTTCCTGTGATACCAGCACTGTTTTCTGGGACTGGTATCGATTAACAGGTTAATTTGGAGCGTCACGGGCTAGTTCCGGTCGGGACTAGTTCGGGGCGTGACAAGGTTCTTGTAATCATTAGGCTACAGGCCCTTTCGCTTTGCAAGATTAATTAGGATCAACTTCCTTTAGTTTGTCCCCTTGCGGTCTGATATTGCGAACACAAAAACTCAGTTTCTTCATGTTGAAGGACCCCGGCCGGATACTAGATCTTAAGTCTGACGAAAATATTCGTAAGTCTGAATGACATGAATTAGTTTCCTTTCATTTATACGTCCTGACGAATCTGAAGTCGGAACGAAAGGACACAAGCAAGCCACTGGCCAGTGGTCATGATAAAAATGAAGCATGTGGACTGATAAGCGTACGTACGTGTTGCATAGTAAGTCCCAGAAAAGGGAGAAGAGAGACGACCTTTTTTTTTTCCTCTACACTCGGGAGCAGCACCTGATGAAGACCAACTCATTCTTTTAGAGACTACCACGTACAAAGTACAAACTGAAGGACTTGCACACAAATGACATGTCCCACACACAGTCAGCGTCAGAATTGAATTCAGAAACCACACGGGCTATATGTTTCACGACACGGGTCCTGAAACTAAACGGACGAATGAAAAGTGCCCTACTACTACACATCAGTACCGGTACCTAACCTAACAGCACAACATGCAATCATGCATGGCCTTGATGGCACGAAAGCGCTGAAGAAAATATCTCCGATCGATCAGGCAGGGCAGGCATGCATGCATGCATTGCAATATATTGCTGCGGCAGGTTAGGCAGCAGCGCCTCGAAGCAGATCGACCGACGCGAGTAAATCAAGAAGCTGCAGGTGGTGATGCATGCGTGCGTGCCTAGCGCAGATGGCCGCGCGCGGCCGGGGTTCTTGCCTGCCGGGCGGGGCAAGGCCGCGCATCGCCGTCTCGTCACCCTCCATGTCCACCAAAAGCCGGACCCGGCGGTGGCGCGGGTGCTCTCTCACGCACACACGCGCACGTGCTTTCACGTGCCCGGAGACGTGAGCCACACTGTTCATCACCACCCCGATTCGGGTTCGCCCACAGCCACCGTCCCGACCCATCGAGCACTCGAGCTAACCGCAAACGGTGAGTGCGCCGATCGACCGGCCTCCCTAGCTACGTACTCCATCATGTTACCTCCCAGCACCGCGCGCTCGCTCGGCTACGACGCATCAGGATTCATGCATGTGACACCGCCCACAGCCCACTAGGCCTTTCCCGGCTCGCATGCCCGCCCCCACTTTACTTAACCCGTAACAAATCTAGTAAGCCGATGTGATCCCTGATCAACCGATCTCCCTTTTCCAGAGTACAGCTAACTAATCAGCAGTACCTCTGTTTGATTAGTTATCAGAGAGCCCGTGGCTTTGACTATGTGATATGATCATGTACCCAGGAAGGACTAACAACCAGTACGTGCAGCTAGCAGATACTATATATACAATTAACAGCGATCGAGCCACGCTGAAATTATTAAACATGGTGTACGCGCTGCAATGCTGGTACTACGGTGGCAAATTTACCACGCAGATGCTGGCATGTACACGGGTGTGTACGTGCTCGCAGCAGCAAGCGACGGTTCCCAGGCCGCGCCCGTGCACCTCCTGCCGGTGGTCAAGGCGCACAAGCTTGTGCTACCGAGGCCGGAGCACGTAGAACCAGCGAGAAATGCCACCATGACCAGGAGCATATTCGGTGCCAAAAATTGTTTTTACACTCCTGCTATCACATCGAGCATAATTAAACGCATGCAGTAACGTAAGCACCGTACCCGGAGGGGGTACTAGTATATTGGCCGTTAATTCATCGTTCCATCTGGATCACCAACGCCTGCGACCCTGCGTGTCTGGGATCACGAGGGGGCGCAGGGGCCAAGGCGACTTACCGCTCGCAATATGCTGGTAGGAATACTATTCTATCCCGACCCAGCACGTAGTCCGTCGTCAGAATCCAGAGCTCCGTCCGGCCTCTAGTACTGTAATCGTAGTACTACTAGTATCCTCCCTCTCTCTCCTCTATCTCGGGTTTATCTATTGCCACCTCCCATGTGAGCATGCGGCTCGGGCGCGCGCCTCCGCCCGTCACCGGCCGGGGGTAGCTGCCGCCCTGACCGAGCACGACGCCGGTTTTTATACTCCTCCACTTGTCCCCCCCCCCCCTCGGGGTAGTGAGAGCCCACATGCGCTCAGTTCACAGTGCCCCCCACAAGCTACTACGTAGCTCATGGTTAATTTTCTACTTGCTGGCTACTACTGTTACCAAATGACTGACCTGCAACCAAATGATCAAGTTTAACAGGACTAGCTTCACAGCTGGGTAGGATCGGAGTAACCAATAACCACCCAAGGTCCACAGTTAGGAGTACTGTACATATTTTTAGCGGGTGCTGGCAGGTATGTCAGATGCGGCCGGCAGGTTAAGTGGCCTATCGTACGGTAGGCTGCCTGCCTGCCATTTATATTGTTCTGAGCTGCTGACTTTCTGACAGCCAGTTCGAGGAGTACGTACGTACGCCAAAGGTAGGAGTAAAACGGAGCTTTCACTTCGCCAGCAGCCAGCCGGGCAGGGCATGTCACTGATTGCTTATCCGGAATTGCGGCCAAGCCAAGCCCCAGGTGGTACCGGCGCGAGGTACAGCAATGATGAAACGCAACCACACTAACACAGCAGCAGCAAAAGGCTTGCCGGCCGGCAGCAGCAGGGCGGGGCCAAAAGTTTTACAGCGAGGAGAGGGGCTCCATGCCTCCGCCCATCCGCCCGCCCGCCCAGCCCCAGCCACCATTTATTCTGTGCTGCCATAAGGAGGGCATCTTTCTCACGCGAGGTGTGCAAATGGTCACGTGCTAGAGCTGCGACGCACGACAGGTGGGCAATGGCGCCCTCGCCTCCTTTGGCCTTTGCATCCTGCATGCCTGCTTGTATTGTATGTTCGGTTGCCCACACAACCATCGTGAAGTGGTCTTGCAACGGCATGGCATGATGATTAGTTTTAGGCCAAAGCAATGAGCCAAAAAAAAAAAAGAAAAAGAAAAACAGGTTTGTTTTCATCTTCTGGTAGAAGGGAGGAAGAAATGGAAGAAGAGATTTAAGTACCTTGAAATGCGTTACAAATTAAATGGCAAGATAGAGAGGAAGATAAGTAGAAGCTAGAGAAATCAACTCCCGGCTAGAAAAGGTGGTAAACTTAAAGAGCATCATAAACAAAATTGACACGAAAAATTCGACGAGCTGAGCAAAAGCGCACAAACTAAACGAAGGGAAAAGAGACAAAAACTGGGGAAACTCCTAAGAAAATATCAGTTCTTCTGTTTTTTTTTTGGTTCAAGGGTTTCTTTTAGATTATTCATGGGCTAATTGATCAATTCTAGCACACGACTCATCTCTAGATGGGCGGCCGGAAGTCTGTCCTTAGGTGGTGGTGGATCAAGAAGTCGTCGCCGCTCACGACGGGCGACACTCCGTCGAACAGCATGGAGCTCTGCATGTGCATTAGGCTCCCCACTCCACCGGCGGCGGCCACCTGCGGCTGGTGATGATGCGGCGTCTGCTGGTGCATCTCCTTCTGCCGGCGCAGCTCCAGCACCTTGCGGTGGGAGTTGGAGTGCTTCGATACCATGAAGGTGGGGCTCGCCGCCGGCCGGTACTCCGGCACCAGTCGCCCGGACTTGTACCGCACCCCGCACGCGTTGCACAGTGTCTTGGGCCCCATCGGCCCCGTCCTCCACTGTGGCGTCTTGTCAGTCTCGCAGTGCAGGCACCGCCTCCCTTCCCCGGCCGCGGCCGCTGGCGCCGAGCCGCCCGAGTGCACCGGCACGCTCGAGAGCTGCGCCTGCGCCGGTGGCGCCGGCGCGTCTTTCTTCTTAGCCGGCTTCGACGGCTTCTTAATAGGGAACGCATGCGCCGACACGCCAGACTCCGCCGGCGAGATGGCCATGGATGCCGGGGACGGCGGGGAGGCCGGAGGCGGCGGCAGCACGAGCAGGCGGGACGACCAGTTGCCAGGCGCAGCGCGGGAGCGCTTGCTTCGTGCCTTGGCGGGGACAGGGGCCTCCGGCAGGAAGCCGCCGGGCTGCACTGCCATGGAGGCAGCCGCCGACGCAGCTTGAGCTTGAGCCGACGGGACGCTCGCCGTCGAGAACCCACCGGAGGGGATGCCGGAGATGAGCTGCAGCTTCTGGAGGTCCTCGGTGGCGAATGCGTCGTCTCCCTCGTTCATATAGTTGGATAGCCATTCCAGCTCCGCGAGTTGATCGTACTGCAGAAAATCCGACAGTAAATTCAGCGTCCTATTATTGTGCTATATGCTTTCGTAAGCTAAACAATTTTGATAATGGAATTCTCGTTTGTTCCAGAGTACATGGCAGTCAACTGCTTCAGTTTAAAAGGCTACCGTTTTGGTATCGTTAGTTCAAGTACATTAACGGGTTTTTTCTTCCATTTTTGTTATCTGGGAGAAAAGTTCGAATTGGAGCTGCATAATTATAGGCGACAAATTTTGTGTGGTTTAACGGGAGTTATTATGGGACAGCGTAACAGCCGAGCCAACAAACAGCTGCGAATTTTTCTTTTTCTAATAATGCATTCAAATTCTCTCGAGGCGTAAAACAAGATGATAAAATACATAGCTCTAGTTTAGATCAGTTCAGCAAATGAAAGGGACGACAATTTCAGAAGAAGTGATATGCAGGAGCTGCCAGAAATGATTGGCACCTCTACTGCAAAATCCAAGGTAATTAACAAGACAAAAGGTGGCCAAAGAATTTACCGGCTCGCACAGCTCGCCGGGGAAGTCGCCGTCGGCTAGGCCGAAGGAATTGCTGCAGCTATCCAGGGCCGTTATGGTCGACGAGTCCGCCGACGCGTTCCCAAAGCCGGCAGCCTCCTCCTTACCGCCGGTGGCCTCACCCTCCCTTGTTGTTTCATCCTCCTCGCCGTAGGGCAACACGAGGAGGTCGTCCACGGCGAAGTGGTCCCCGCACCCCTGCTGCAGCGCCTTCTTCTCGCGGCCCGCCGCGCCGCCGTAGTAGGCGCCGCCGAACTCGGCCGTCACCTCCATCGTCGCCGCAACGCACAGCTGGTGCAACCGGCGCGCCCGCGAGCCGCGCGTGCGCTACCGCTACACACACACACTGCCGCGGACGCGCTCGGTGCGGAAACAACTCTCTATCTGCGTTACTCGGCGCCTTTTGTTTGTTTCTCCTTCCGTTTCTACGTGTGCGCGAGTAGTGGGAGACGGAACCGCAGATAACGCAACGCAAGAGGAGTAGGGTTTAATTGGCGTGGAGCTGGAGCGCGGAGAGACGGAAGGGGAGGCGGGGCGGAGAGAGGTCAGCTGAAGCGAACGATTCTTAAGGAGTAAATAAAGCGAGGGCCACTGAGCCGGCCACCAGCTAGCCCAGCCCGCACACCAGAGGGACCGGGTTGTGGTTAAACCAAGCAAGCAGTAAGAACTCCAGTTTAAACACTTTACTAACCGTGCAATCCCAGCGTCATTTCATTCCCCAACTACCCGGGAAGGAGAGGGGCACCAACCATGCGAACAGCTGGAGATCAGTGAACACCTTTTTTCCCTCTGGAAAATGGAATATGCATGCAGGGTGGTGGTGAAGCAAGTCACGGTGGATTCCTGTTGTCTTTTACGTGCGCGTGAGAACAAATTTACGTACGTACGCGTGACAACAAACCAGTCTGACGAGGCAGGTGGATTTTGTGAGGCTCTGTCACGTGGAAGCAGCTGGTAAATTCCGCGAGGCGCAAGTCTCGAATGCTATCCCGGGCCGCGGTTGTTCTGGATTACCGTTCGTCGTGAAGAGGTAAGTACGAGACCCACGGGATCGCTAGCTAGCTTGCTGCACCGTGCACGCCTGCACGAGGGATCGCAGTGGCACCGCACGTTGTCCATGTTGGCCGTTTCTGTTCAGAGTCGAGGCTGCCACGAAGCTTCAATTTTTTTTTTCACCGCCGATTATTCAAACGGAGAGGATAACACTTGCTGGGTCCTTAATTGGGATAGTCCACTGCATGTTCCGAAGATCAAAATTTAACTCGCATTTTTACAGGTGGCATCTCAAATGTTGGAGGTCAAAAGATTTCAGAAATGGTGAACATTAGCAGCAGTTGCCAACTATTCTTTTTTAGCTCAAGCAGCGGCCAGCGAGCTATATACTTATTTTTACCAGTAGAGACTAGAGAGAGAACTAAAATTCTTGCTAGTGACTGTATGCCAATGAATCTTGACCTATATTTCGTACCATGTCTTTTTATAACTAAGTTTAAAAATATGCGAGAATAAAACTTGCAGTTGAATTGGAAAAAAAAGTGTGCAAACCGAAAGAACTTTGTGGTTGATGAGTCCTAAATATGCGTCGCGTCGCTTCACAAGAGCGTTTTTTAAGTTTGCGATGGCTTTGGTTTGAATATTGGAAGGCATTGGAGATACCTTGGGTAGGCATGCCGGATCTGGTAACCAGCTGGATACACAGATCATTTTGCGTTTGCGACCATCATCACTCTTGAGAACGGAAACACGGTGAGGTTCTAGGACTCACATTGCCTAGACAACAAAACACCGAGGCTCTTGGCCTCTGCAATCTTTATGGCCTCAAAACGAAAGAATGTTTAGTGTGGGACAGCCTAGAGGAAGACACCTGGATTCAAATATTCGTCAAATCACAAAAGCTAATCATATATGGCATTTCGTTGATATTTGAATGTGGTTAAAACAGCTATAGGCGCCACTAGGTTCATAGTTTATGACATCATGACCTGGAAGCTCACGGCCAACAGGGAGTATATGGTGAACTTGACATATAGACCGTACTTTGCGAGTATAATCAGCTCAACTAGCAAACAAACAACCTAGAAGCTTCGGGCGCCACTGGAATGTAAATCTTCATGTCCTATCAAACAAAACAGTCTGGTTAGTAGACATACTTAAGAGAATAGGCTGATCAAACCAACAGATATGTCTGTTGTACTGCGCAGCGTGGAAAACAACACTCCACCTTCTGGTCAAGCGTAGGCTGACAGAGAATCTAGACACTCAATCTAGAAGTGGGTAGGCCTAGACCTCCACATACAAGAGGTGGAAAGACTCTGACTCACTGGAAGGCTATTTGCAGTAGATGCTATCGATTCTACATGGCCTGAAGAAACCGCTTAAGAAGCTAGACTGGTGGGCAACAGATGCTATTGATTCTATATGGCCTAAAAAACCGCTTAGGTTGATGATCATCGTCTTCTTGTGTGCACTCTAGTTGGAGCGCAATGCAAATATTTTATTTTCACGAACGCGATGCAAATATTCTATACCATGTCGCCGTAACCCCGGCTACAACCATAGCCAAAATCAAAGAGAAGCAATGACCTGGGTGAAAACGGGAGCTGTAAGGCTCTAGGAATTCGTTAGTTTGGCGGTCGTCTTGTAGCAGATTTTTTTAAAACCTTTTGCAGACATGTTTATTTTAAAGTTGTCTTGTAAATATTTTTTTTCATAATGTTTTCATCTCTATTAATATATACATGACAAATCTTTTACGATATTCCTTTAAAGATAAATAAATTACAGATTTTCAGGTAAATGCATTGAAGCATATCCACCTCAAAGAACATACATGTAAACACGGACGGAGAGAAAGTGCAGTCCATTCTACGAAGTGTCTTGCCATGTCTTTACAAGTATATAGGAGGCATGGACAGGCGCTAGTTTAATTACGATTAACATGTGAACGGACGACGTACGGTATGATAATCGTCGCGAGATGATCGGGTGTCACGGTCACTCGCACTAGCCGGTCTATTGCTGTAGAGATCTGGGATGATATCGCATGACAAGCAGCTAGACATACCATGTTGAGCCCGATGACGACGTTATGTTTGCATTGCTATATGTTGTTCATCATTCGGTGCAATTACTCTTGGTGGCAAAATCACTTTCTACCACGAGACTAGCAACATGCAAGTCGTTTTCGCCATCATTTCCTATGCTCACAGTGAATTTTGTTTCGTCCATGTAAAAAACATTCCGGTGACTTAAACCGGCCTAGCTATCTGATCTAAAACCATAGGTCACTAGCTACATAACGAAAATCTCGGTTTAGTTTGTACTCCTATACTATAGATTTGTCGTTCTCTCGGGACAGGCTTGGTCCACGCAACTGAAGGGTGTTCATGTCACGCCGGGCCGGCCATCGATCCGGCGCGTCGTGCCGTCGTCACGGCTCGACGGGGACAGCAGTGACGTATGCGATCTTGACACGTAGCCCGGTCACACGGTGAGTAGCCTTCGCGGAGGAGGGCGCCCACGTCACGGGCACCCTGCCGCGCGTCCACGTACGTACCACGTGGGGGGCACCGACGCGAGGGCATCCTGCGCCGTCGGATCCCGATCGTTCGGACGTGGACTCGTCGACCGGCACCTTGGCATCAGAGCGGCAGGGGTGACTGCGTGCGTCAGAGGGTGGCCCCGGCCGCCGGCCGGGAGGACGTCGCGAGCTCTACGATGTACTACGATCCCGATGTAGATTGGCCTCGGGGAATGGGATTCTTCTTCTGCAGCTTTCTTTTCTTTCTGTAAATAAATCGCAACGCTTTTGTTCCGGTTCATTGCTCTCGCAGAAGGGCACGGAGTGAGCACTTCTACCGTAATTTGTTCTCGAGCTCAAGTTGGTGATACTGTACTTTACCCAGGCAATCTGAATTACTTCCTCAGTTTCACAGTGTAAGTCATTTTAGCATTCTCACATTCATATTGATGTTAATGAATTTACATAGATATATATGTATAGATTCATTAACATCATAATGAATGTGAAAAATGCTAAAATGATTTATATTGTGAAACGGAGAGAGTACTCGTATTTTCGCAAGAGTATAATTTTTAGGTGTTTCTTCTGGATGGATCAACTGGAAGTGCAGTATATATGCCTAGGTCTAGCTCAGAAATCCTTCGAAATGAGCAAGTCGTTCCCATGTCATCAGAAAAGGTGGCATTCGCATCAATAAAACTCAGTCAAGCTGCAACGGCTTGCACGGTGGCCGCACCACACCTTTCGAAAAAAGGAACAGCCGCGATATATATCTAGACACGAACATCAAGGCACCACATTTGCCTTCCCAAAAAAATTATGGCGGCAGCTCAACTTTGCAACTTTTGTCAAATTTTGCTTGGATTCAAAGGAAAGGCCTGTGCTGTGGGGAACAGAGCAGGAGCCACTGAGCCAGGGCGCCCAAGGCCGGGGAGACCATTGATTGCTTGGATAGGAGGTTTACGTCACGTATTTTTATCTCTGTAGTCTGTACCAATCTTCTTCCCTTTTGCCTATGATATTTTTTCTCTCTTTAGCTTTTTTTTTTATTCTTTTGCCCCTGGTTAGTATTATGAATTTTTTTTATTTTTAATTTTTTTTATTAAAAGTTTTAAAAAATAATTTTCCATTTTGAAAATTGACGGAAGTAGTCGCCTACCGCCCTCTGGGAGGGCGATTTTTAAAAATCGTCATCCCAGAGGGCGGCGAAAATGACGTGGCAGACGGCCGTTCGCTCTCGGGCGACGGCCGTCAATGAAATTTGCAGGCGGCCCCCTTGCCGCCCTCCGCTAGGGCGATTTTGTACTGTGCGGGGGGCCGCCTGCAAATGGGCGGCGAGGGGGCATGGAATTTTGCAGGCGGCCCCCTTGCCGCCCTGGGGGAGGGCGATTTTTGCCTCCCCCTATAAAGCCCAGTCCCCCCTCTCTGAAATTTCATTATATTCACTAAAAATCCAAAAAAAAACGAAAGAGAGAGAGGAGAGGGCAGCAGAAGGGGAGCGGCGAAGCCCTGCTGGTTCGCTCACTTCATCACAGGTTTGCTCCCATACATCTTTTGCATTTGTACTAATATGTTATGTTTGAGTATATATGTTGCGTTTTAGTTTTAGTTCCATATATTTTAGCATATCTGTAGCACACAGCACATATGTGTAGATCCAGAGCATAGAATATAATAGTATGAATTGAGACATAGACAGTAGTGTTAATTGTAAGATGTAGTTTAGTTTGATCTGGAGAATGTAACCTACTTTTAGAATTTTGGAGAACAATATTGTAGAGAATGTAACTTAGGGCGTAGTACAGAAATGCGAGGTTAACGCAGTTATTGTTTTCATCAGGCACAATGTCAAATAAGGTCACATTTCAGATAGTTCACGGTGAAGGAAATATTAGATTTGGTCCAGATGGTGTTGATCTGTCAGATTTTGTAATGACATCTAAGGGCATCGATAGGCCTGCGGAGAAAACATTTCAGTCAATTTATAGTTGGTTGTTGAGAGGATTTAGAATAGACCAAGAAGTCTACACAA